ATTCTCACTTCGCTCGTTTCCATCTATCCGGTTCGCTTGACCATGTTTGCAAGTGCATCGGGCCGTGTGACGCCGGTCGGTCTGCAGTTCACGTACCTCGGTGTTCGGCCTCGCGAGTAAGATCATGACGGCCACACCGTGGGCCGGGTGTTCGCGCCGACGACCCACGGCACTGCTCTTCCTAGGATCCTACTACTTCGTAATCCGCCCCTAGTCCTGTGGCCTAGCCACAGGGCCGGGCGTCGGGAAGTTAACGGGCGCCTAAGAAGAGTACGTCGTCGTCCGCTGATCCGAAAGAGGACGAGCATCGTAACTCGGGATTGTGGTCTGGCCGGTTGATCGCGGTTTGCTCGCGTCACCCTCCTTTTTCAATCAGAGACTTCTTCTCTGATTTCTCCAATCGCCGAATCAAGGACTTCTTCCTTGATTCGCTCCCTTCGCTTCTTGGTCCGATAATTGCTCGGCATATCTGCGACCAGTGCGTAGTTTCATGCGGCGAAACTAAGTTAGAATTAAGATTGTATCCCCTAACTTTGCTTTGCTGAATCAGAGACTTCTTCTTTGATTCGAATGACCGAATCAAGGACTTCTTCCTTGATTCTCTCCCTACACTGCGATGATTGTATAATATAAGTAATGCGTTGAGCGTGAACTAAGTTAGAATTAATCGTGCGAAAAAAGACGTCGATCATCCGCTCTAGGATACATCATTTCAGGCCCAAGGAAGAAGACATCGATCGTCCGCCGTGGGATACATCGCTTCATTTACTAATTATCCTATATTAATCCCATATTACTATTTATTGCTATGTATTCTTGCATTTCAGTACAGACTCAAGAAAGAAGACAGCCGCCGTGGGATTATTATTAAGTGCGATACCGATAAATGCGTTTAGAATAAGATGTAGAGTTAGGAACGGAGGTCGGTGGAATTGAATTTCCACCCACCTCCCAGGGTCTCCTCGCAGCAACCTCCACGTGGTGAGACCTGGAAACTAGCATTATTGTCGATAGAATAATTCTTATCGAGGATCGTGCTAGGCCAATCGCTGCAAAATTGTATGATGCATGTCACAGTATGCCGAATAGTTATTCTCTTGTTTCACCTCCTTTTTCATCGAAGACGTGTTCTGTTACTTCTGTCATTTACTGATCAAGGACTTCATTTTCGATTCATTCCTTTTCCTTTCTTTGTCTGATAATTCTTCGGCATTTGTGGAGCTTCCATACATTGTTGAAAATGAAAATAAATCTCTTTTAAGTTAGGTATGATCAATGCACCTTCTTTTTTTTATTTCAGTGTAGCATGTGTTCCTTTACCTACAACGAATAATTCTTGCCATTCTATGTGCAGTGTATAGTGCACATTGCGGCAAGAATTATCTGCTCCTGAGAAACTACGGTTTTTAATGATGGCGTCATCCGTGGCAAAACGCTCAAACTCGTAGCCATATGTTACCGATATGGGTGTTCACAAGGATTGAATGTGGCGCCATCCGTGACAGAACCCGGAAACTGTTTGACAAATGTTACCGATGAAGTAATTCGTTCGGATTGACTGCTGGCGCCATCCATGGCAAAACGCTCAAACTGGTAGACAAATGTTACCGATGTCTAAATTGACTGGTATTGACTGTGGCGCCATCTGTGAAAAAATGTTCAGACTGGTAGACAACTATTACCGATGTGGGAGTACAATCGGTATAGCTTGTATCCTTATTCGTTATATATAATTATAATATTCACTGTATTATTATATTGAAATATTTTTATTAACCAATTTCTATAATGTCTTAGTTCCAACTAACTATTGTTTAGTTACTATTTTAGAACGATAAAATGTGTTATCAACGAATAAAATCCGACCATATATCATTCCTTGTCCTACTCTTTACCTTCTTACGAAACGCAATCAATCCATCCGAAAATCGCTAATATCTCATTAATTCGACCGCGAATACAACCGAAATTATTACATAAATTTTGCTACAAGTCTTCTCTAATTTCCTCGAGCATAAACGTTCACGAGTTCTGTCTACGAAGTAAGAAAATTAATAATATCCTGAGCGCCTATCAAAATCTCTTAACTTAATTTAGGACGGTGCTCCAAAGGATCCTTGATAAATAATTACCGCGTAACAAAATCTTATCAACATTGACATAGAAAACAAGCGCGAGGTCCATTCTACATTTTTTAGTTTGAAATGTTCGTCAGTTGTTACTGGGCGTCGAGTTATTAATTAATTTTCCAGCGATTGTACGAAGCTTAGCAGAGTCCATTTTGTGTCTTTCTCCTTCTCCCGCCAAATTATCTATCTATCCTTGTTGGATAACTCTTTAGTCCTGATGCTTCACGAGTAGGTACCAGGGACTGATGAGATGCTTTTTCGTAGTAGGTGGCATCGGGATTTCTCTCTCTGTCCTTGTTGCACACTGTCTCTGTCCTTGTCTTACACATTACGTGGTAGGAAGAAACTCTCCTAAGTTTTCACCGCTAGATGGCGGGTCGGTTTCTTGTCACCAAAATTCTCTGTCCTTGTCTCGCTCATTCTGCAAATAGGGGAAAACGTTCGGCTGCTAGTAGAACTAGTTCCATTTAATGTTTACTGTTTTAGTGATATTTTAGATGCGAGTATAATTTAGAAATAAGGTTTACAATAGGTTATAACGAGAGGAAAGTAGCAATGTTTAAAAATTAATGATATTTATGTAAATATCGCAAAGAATAGCTTGTTCAAATTCAAGCACGTTTTCTACAACAGTATTGCAAATTGGTCAGCAATTCTAGGTAATCAGAGCACGTTACAAGTGCATGTTGATATTGTAGTCCATACAGTGATTAAGTTTGCAATTTAAAAGATGCAAGCAGGCGGTACTACAATGAGAGCATTGTTCTCATGTAAGTATTTAAATGATTATTTCAGGTATGAAATTTGGTATCAGTCTTTTTAATTCCACTGCATTTTACAGCTCGTATTTGGTTGAAGACTCCATCAATTCAATGTACAGCCGGAGTGAAGTCTTTTACACCTCCAAAATCATTTACAGGTATACAAAGCAATTAGTAAATACAAATGAAAGTCAACAATGTTAATACAGACTATATGTTGCAGACATTGAGTATCCTGAACGGAAGAAGTTGAAAGTTATGTTGAAAGTACCGCAGTATCCACCAAGCATTTCCCCTTTTACAATGCAAAAGAAATTAAAATTAATGCGTGGTCCTGAACTCTATCATAACACACTTTTGCATAAGCAGTATGGGATAATAGTAAGAATGCTGATATCATAAGATACAGACCTATGTATTTCTGTATGTGTAAAATTGCAGGCTACAGCTGGAGGTAGAGTAAAATACAACCATATGGAAGTAATACGTTACACACTCCTCAGGACAGTCTTTGCACAGAACAAAGACGCATTTGCGATCTGGAGAATTCCAGGTCCTTGGCAACCAATTTCACAGAGGGTACGCAAATATTTATATCAGAGTTTTCAGTAAGAATTCAGGAGACATTAGGATTGTATTTATCTAATAATTTCTATGAAACACAGAGTCTGGGATCACGGTTGGGAGGTGGCAAGGCTGATATAAAATTCTATGTAACACCTGTAAAGGCAGGACAAGTTCTTGTGGAAGTAGGAGGTCCATTCGAATACTTTGAGGTAATAAAAATTTTGCTTAATATTCCACGACCTATAAAATACAATACCATATGGTTGCTTTAGGTAAAAAAGGTCCTCGCCGATATCGCAAATAAAATGCCGTTTGCTGCCAGAGCGGTCAGTCAAGAAATACTAGATACAATAGCGGCGAGAAAAAAGCAGATCGAAGTGGAGAACCAAAATCCTTTTACTTGGAAATATATAATACAAAACAATATGCTTGGCTGTCACAGGTGGATATCGAAGTACGACAGACGGTGGTTTAATGAATACATGTAAATATTAAAAATTCTTGTAAATTATAAAATAAATGATAGACATTGAACGAACTATTCGCTGTACGTTTCTTTTGTCCACGGACCTGTTCTATAAAAATATATCACTTACCTGATTATAAGAGGAGTAGACACAAATCATCATTGCAACCATATCTCTTCGCGTATCAATTCTTCATATTCGAGAGATGACTCTCAGTCACCATTTAATTTGATATAGTAGAATTATAAGATCATATATAATATTAAGCTGTGCATAGTGTATCGATATGTGAAATATTGGAGTAAAATAGCTTTGTTTCTTGATTTATGTATGTTTTCTCATTGGTTGGTTCCAAATAACGTCGTCTATATCACACCGGAGAGTATCGAATATTTTCGAGTGCAAAGGGTTAAGAATTGATACAACAATATTGAACAGGAACTAAAGGACAGGAGGAACAGGGTAAATAAGAACAATCAGTAAAAACAACGTGTTACAATTACAATATTTTATATATCTTTGATGACGGTTTGGTGGTAACAACAGGTAAATACTACATATTGTACATTGAGTAGGCGATAGTCGTATCTTATTGTTTAATTAGCGTACCGATTACGCCGGTGCCAAATGGCGATGTCCACGACGGCGACGACAAGCAACACCAACGACGGGGCGAGGGGCGGTGAGGACAGTGCGATTATAACAGGGGCAGCAGCAACAACAACAATCTCAATAACAATAACAATAACAGCAACGATGAGTTACGTGATCAATAGAATATAAGGGACAAATAGAATCGTCGCGATCAAATAATACAGTAAGAGTATAATCACTTGGCGGTGAATGGATCCGCACGCGAGCGAGATCGATGGTATCCAATCGTTTATCGTTAATTCGTACCTGCTCTCTGCGATCGTCAGCGTTGCAAAGATGAATCGCGTAAAGCGTTACCAGCTGTTTCATCGCGAATAAAAAGATTCGTCTCAATGTTAAAGATATGACCGAAGATATGAGTACGCGATCGTACGATCGCCGTTAGACAATTCATAAATAAAGGGCAATTGACGTTCGTAAAGATTCACACCTCTTAACGCTCCACACGGAATCAAGCTTCGCGCCAGCGATAAACGTAACCGCAGATTGTTCGCGATTAATGGCTAAACGGGGTCCTGGACGTCGTCGTCGTCACCGTCCCCGTCGAGGCTGTTGCCATTCGCCTCGCCGATCATTCGCGTATCATAGTCCCGCATTTATCACACTTAAACGTAGATATACAGAGCGACGACATCTTGTGTCTTTGAGGAATGTGTGTGAATGCAGAGTCAGCATCGCGACGCGATATATTCTATTACAATATACTGTATATGTATATATTTATAATATATATATAT